CAGAATATAACATGTAATAGAAGAAAAACAGCATTAGTCTTATCCGAACAAAATTTAATCATAGATGTTTGTTTTAAGTTGAGAGCCGGCAAAACGCTCAGTATAGAAGCGTTTAAAGCAGTGCAGCTCATTAATTTCAGCCCAGCATGAATGAGAAAGAAACAAAATACGGATTTAAACATGTTCATTGAACATAAGCAGGTTTTGAAAGGATGGGCAGGCCTGGTTTAAAGCCTAGAAATAATGAATCGTATTCAATTTAGAGTTGTACCTTGACCTTGACTGTCATCATCTGTGAATTTCTCTGCTAATTCATCATTTAAACTATTTGGATCGTTTTATTTACTGATTTAATTTTTTGAAAATACGCAATGGGCTGATCGTATTGCGCAGTTTCTGGATGTTTCATCTCAAAAGAAGGCTCTTCCAGTATTTCTTTTTTCCGGATTAATGCTACAAATAGGTAAACAGGTTTCCAAATATTGTAAATTTCAGCTAAGCCATGTTTCGGTGTACCAAATTTTAAGGTAGTGGATGCCTGGACAAAATTCTGCCGCATAGTAAAGAGCAGTTTCTTCTTCTTCTTCATTCCTTTATTTAACGTCGGTCTCTGTTCCGCAATCTAGTGCCAACCACCGACGGACATCGATTGCCATCCATTGACGGCAATCGAATGTGCAGGAAGCCAGCTTCTAAACATGCGTAGGATACCGCACCCATTCAAACACACATGGGCCGGGACCAACGGCCTTTCTTCCCTTCCTAAGGAAGACGTGACCAGACATTTTTATGCCTAAGAAAAATCCCACCGGCTGGGATTGAACCCTGATCCATTGGGGTGAGAAAGCAGTCACGCTTACTACTACACTATCGGCACCGGCAAGAGCAGTCTCATATGTTCTTTGTACTCAACTTTATCGTTTGTGTTTTGACGTATGATGGAGGATGCTAGTAATTAGAGCAACATGGGAAAATGATCTATGTGCCAAATGTAAACAACGACTTTAACCGTTGATATCTCGTGAATATAGACTCATTCTGGCAAACCAACACCAGCATCGGAGAAAAAGTTTGCCCTATAAGATGATGTCGTTAGTTTGTGTAGGTGTGCTGTAATTTGTGAAAAATCGACGTTTAAATGCATTGCTTACGTTTAGCTTATATGCTTTTTTCACATGTACATAGGTCGAGACTGTTCTAGTGAACTCAAATCTGTGTAAATCGATTACCTAAATTTGGGTTAACGATTCTTAGCGTGCTTCCTGTTAGTTGTCAATCTGGTATGCAAAGAGGGATGGCAGATATAATCAACCTTTTCCATTATTTGTTTAGTTCGCCTTTAAGAGGACCATCACTCGATTTGCTTTTGCTTCTTCTTCTTCTTGTATTCCTAAATCATCACTTTCTAATAGCGAATTCGTTCATTATTCAGTTCCAACCTGGATCGGGTATCAAGATTGGGTCTGCTTGTTTTCTGACAAACGTCAGTTTGTTCGTTTGTTTTTAAAACCTAGCTCAGGTTGAGGTTCGCACTGACAAAAAGTTCGGTTTCGCACTGGGTTGAAACTGGTTCCAACCCCGATAATAAACGAATTCGCTATAAGAATACTGGTAAAATTCGTTGGTAGCATGCGTCGCCTTGCCAAAATATCAACTGATATGGTGGAAAAATCTACAATTTATTTTATTCTTTTACTTTCAATACTATAGCAAATGTGAGGTCACACATGCACCTGTATAAGAATGTCGTAGACAAAACATTCACACTGCCAGACCACGCTGTCCCTGAGCGGGAAAGCCAATAACAGGCTACATGTAATGCTGCAATCTCCCCTGTTTGTGTTGAATTCAATATATTTTTATCTTTGTAATTAGAACGTTCAAGTTCCAAAGAAGGTCCTTTCAGTTTTATTTATTCAGTGTTTGATATTTATTCAGCACTAGCTGAGTGTGCCCGGTCTTGCTCGGGATTCAATATTAGCTTGAGATTATGCGCCGATTTAAAAAAAAAGCATGCTATATTGTACGTAGCCCCCCCCCCCCTCCTATTATATAAGGGGCTACCCCTATGATTATCTCCTTATACCCCCACACTCGCCCCCACATGCCTAATTTGGTTCCATTTGCTTGATTAGCTCTCGAGTTATGCAGAAATTTCTGTTTTATTTGTATGGGAGCCCCCCCTTACAGAAGGGGAAGGGGTCTCGAACCATCATAAGAACCTTCCACGGCCCCAAAAACTCCTGTATACAAATTTTCACGCCAATCGGTTCAGTAGTTTCCGAGTCTATAAGGGTCAGACAGACAGACAGACAGACAGAAATTCATTTTTATATATTTCAATGATTATTTTACGTTCGCTAGCGAAGAAGTGAAGTTGAAGTGATTCTCTTGGTGTTTTATTTTGTTCACCAAGATATTTGACCTCCAGTTGATATTAATTTAGTGTATTCGATTATGTGAAATTGTGGATTTCTACAAAGAAGACAAGTAAGTAAATGCAGTGATGTTGTTTTACCCAAAAAATATACGATGTAAACTTGCTTTAAATTTTCGGATGGCTTGTAGGTGTATACTTATGATGCTGATTGAAGAATATTAAAAAAAAGAAGAATCTTAATTGAATGACAGTGTCTTGAGTCTTAAGCTAATAGTACATCCAGACTATAACTGATATCACGTAAATAGGCTATCTTGATATCATTCACTGCACGTAGTATTATGTGATGACGTCAGAGTAGGTGTGTGAGAGTGCATGAGAAAGCTATTACTGTCTGTCACACTTTTAATTTGACTTAAATAATAATGCCACGAATGATTTGGATACCTTTCTCGCCGGGAGAGGGTATTACATTTTCGTCTTTCAGAAACGGGACGTGGACCATATTCTTAATTTATAAAATTTGCAGAAACGTTAAAAACTCCGCATATTCAAATCTCTCAGCTTTTTGATCAATGAGTGCAACAATCTTCTTGAAATGTTCGTTTGAACGATTTTTTTTTCCAACATTATTTTGTTTTTTAAGTCGCTTTTGGGTCCTTTATGACTTGTTCAATGAAGTGCAGCAAATGATCAATACCAATACCTACCAGTGTTCAAAAATCAATTTCAAATCTCATTCATTGAACCTCCCTAAGGGATCGTCCATTAATTATGTCACACATTTAGGGGGGAGGGGGTGGTTTTGAAAACTGTGACGAGCCATACAAAAAAAAATAAGGTAAAAAAATGTGACAAAGGGGGGAGGGGGGGGGGTTGAAAATGGGCCAAATTTGCGTGACATAATTAATGGACCATCTCTAAGAGAATAAACTGAGATGCTTATGCATTTTCACGCACTCACACTCAAAGTGCCAACAATTCATTCAAGCTTAAAACTACTCATAACAACCGCTCAAACGTCAATGCAAAAACAACAGTAATAACAATGAATAAAGGAAAAATATAAAGCAATGAATGTTTGACCCTGCAAGCTCATCGGTGATTTTTTAGCAGTTGAATTTTGCCAGATAAAACTGATAGGCGAATAAACTCATGCATGAGATTTGACTTTTTGAGTTTTTCAAAACATTTGTACCTACAAAATTCGGATTTTCACTAGCCACCTGATGTCACATAGTTCCAATATCAACGTCACTCGCCTCAATTTCAGTGCACAATTGACATTGACATCGTAATGGGACCTTCTGATATTCAAAATTCTGACGCAAATATTTTTCAGTTTCGCCAGCTAATCGAGTACTCCTCTTTTGAAAACTTTTCGGCACTATTAAAACAATGCATGGATTATTCAAAATAATTCATTTATTGAGATAATAGAAAATTTTTAAGCTGTAACCCAGTGATATGCGATATGTCAAAAATTGGTCGACTCAAATTTAGCGAATTTTATTCAATTGTGCATTTAAAAAACTTGAACACCCCTCATGTTGTTGCTCTGTGCGTACGGAATGTTGCCTCTATTTTGTTTTTTTTTCAGTTGCTGTCAAAGCAAGAGAAACAGAGTTTAAAAATTTTGCCCGCGCATAAGCGAAATCTAAATTATTCTTACGCAGATTGATGGCCTCAGAAATCTGATTTCTTTAAAATAAACGATGAAAAATACAACAAGGCGGATTTCAAGCAGCTCCCATGCTAAGAATTCACACGGCTACCGAAAAAAGGAAAGGTTCAAGATAAATTTAAGCAGAAAAAGTAATCAAAGTTCAAAAAAAAAAAAAATTGGCTTGGCAGACGATTTGCACCTGTGAGCTGAAAAGCGAAACGTTCGTGCCAACTGGCATTGCCAACCAAGATATTTATTAAAAGTAATATTTGCCGTAAACGATTGTTGCCTTTATTGAAGAAACACTGTTGTTCCACGCTGTTTTGGACCTCGCTTCCTGTCACTACGGGAAAATGGCTCAGGAACGGAATACAACAAACAACGTGCCCAAGGACAAAAACCCTCCAAATTTGCCGGAGCTGTACCCAATTGGAAAATATTGGGCAATCGTTAAGCGGAGCCTCGAAAAAGCTCAGAAAACAGTTAGAAATGAGAAACAGTTCAAAGTAAATTGACGTTCAGCATCAAATAAGGTTGATACAACAGCGGTACAAAATCTGATGGAAGGTGCGAAACGTAAAGCCCGACAGTTCACATTTGGAAAATCGGAAGCCTAATCATATAATGTTCCTGTATTTTGTAGTCATTGAATTTCAAAAGGAATTAAAGTTTGATCATTTATACAATAACATAATCACTGTGCCCTTAATCATGACAACACGGAGCATTGTCAATTCTTCCTGAGCAGTGAACAGTTTGTTTCATTAGAATTGTGATTTACTGCTGAACAAAAAAAAAACAACATATTTGCTTGAGGGAGCTGCGCCTAATTTCATCCCGTAGCCCATCATTAGAGCTGCTTAGCATATATGTATGCAACTTCATATGCCTTGGTCAGATTTTGTTAACGGCTGCTAGTCTATGATACTATTAAAATAAATTAAATCAACTTACCGCTGCCGACGCTCTTTCACCAGCCGTCAACACGCCATCATTGGGCCTAGCTAACACGAAACCACCATTCGCCAGGAAAACACTCAACACAGCCACCCAAGTGCACAATTTCACTAGCTTTTTGTTTAAACAACCACTACTGCTGCTCCTGGTGCTGGCACGTTTCGACCACCGACGGTTATCACTCGCATCGACCCGCAAAATACCCATAACTAGTGCCTTAATTAACAGGAAAACTTGCGCAACCAAATCACAACTGAAATCCACCGATTTCACCCTGACCTCGTGGCCACTGGAATTCTTCCTACGGAACTGAGGATTACATGAACCTAAAAGATCTTCACCGATGCTACTACTTTCACTATTTACAAGGCATCGATTAAAAGCAATTTCTTCACTAACAGGCGATTGATTAGCACCATTCGTCAGTTTTTCTTCAACTTCTTCTTCTGCTGCTATTGCTGCTGCTTCTTCGTCTTGTGTATTCAGGTGGTGCCCTTTGATCCTACAGGCACGGCGAGATAAATTTACCTCCTGCTGTAGGGAATGGGCCACCATTTCGGATTTTCCTCTGCGTTGAATCAAAGGTTTGACGATGTAGTCACAAGGATTCGTCACCGACTCGAGAGGGTGGGAGTAGTTCTCGGAAAGCAGTTTTCCACTGGCTTCCGGCTGATGGTCCGGACGTCCTACTGCTTTTCCAACTTTAGCCGCCAGCGTTAACGCCTTCGCTGGCGTTGCCTTCGTCGATGATTCTTCCAGCAGAATTTCCGGAAGTATTTGTGACGTCCTCGGTACTCTTTCCGATTGATGGGAGGATGTTTTGATCAAATCTCATTGAAAAGTGATCCCAAAATTGACAGAGTATGTTTGTGTGTGTGTGTATGTTTGTCAGTGCGTGCGTGCGTGCTTAGTTGCTGTGCGCTCTGGTCGTCGTCTATTGTGGAATGATTGTGATGTTGTGGCTGATTGCACTTCCGAGACAGAGCCAGGAACGTCGTCAGACAGCGGTTGATGTGTTCTTTCTGGAAAGATAAGAAAATCAAATGGAAAATTATTATTGCTGCCCGACGGAATCGGAATTGGATTTTATTTGCGAGCCGTATTAAAATGTCTATCAAACAATTTGTCCAGGCGAATGACGCGCGAATGATAATTGATTGATGAAATCGGGGGCAAGAAGTGGAAGCAAAGACAACACGAGAAGTTTTAATTTAGCTGGCTTGGAACAATCTATCTTCGTCTGTCAAACGAAAAACCTGAATTTAGCAACTGCTAGGTGTACAACAAATTAAGTATTCTTATATGAAAACTTTTTTTCCTATTGTTCGGGTCATAATAACTGCGACCAACACATTGATCCATTTTTTAGTGCAGGTCGTAGTATTTCATTACTTTCAATAATTTAACACAACCGTAATTCCAAATCTTTCTCACGCATCTTCAAGATGGATGTTTAAGGTATACTTTGGTGCAATAAGACCATTGAAAAAGCGCATGGGCAAAAGGGGGCTAACAAAATCGGGTCATTACTGTATTTGTTTTCGATACAGTTATCATAAATACTTCACGCGTCTTTGAAAACGTCCCAGAACTTTTCGAATGATTGAAGAGTTCTGGGACGTTTTCAAAGACGCGCCCTCTCATCAATCAAAATAGGTTTCACAATCGTGCAATTGTGATGTTCCGTTTCATTGGAAAAGTTCTGGGACCACTCCAAATGCGCGCCTCTCATCAATCAAAATAGGTGTCCTCACTCGCAAAAAAAACCGTTCCCATATTCGTAAACGGCAGCCGTTCATACCAGACGCAGACCGTGAACTATTATAGTTCACGGCTGCCGTTCACGATCTCAAATCCTCGGAGACCCTTGAACTTTTTTAAAATAATAAATAAAACTTACTACCTCACTCTCAAAACCGAGGCTCATAACCGTCAACAAGAAGAACGTAGGGCCAGAGTTAGAGGTGGTCTTACAACCAGTAACGCACCACGAAAAGGTGATCTACTCGCGTTACGGTAGCTATGACTAATCTATTTGCTTCAAATAGACTACTCATATTAGAGATATTAGAGTTCAAATCACATCCCCGTACAAGTCACGAATGACCCAAGACTATTTATTTTACTAAGTAAAATTTCCTGGATTTTAAAGTATTCGATAAAAAATATTCTATTTTGGGTAAAACAAGTGTCTTAAACGTTTTTACTTATTGTGCATACGACTGGAAGCTGATGTGACGTTTTCACTGCCAAACGACATATAATTTAAATTTTTGGTGGAATCATGAAATTGTTTTTATTGATGTGAAGTAGTTTGTTTCATTCGAGATCTAAAAAAAAAAAAAAACAAAATAAATTAGAAAACTACATTTTGCATACACAGATAAAATAGTATATTATACAACGGTACACAAATTGAATATTATGGCCGGGAGAATTTTATATTTTGTACGGCAACAATGTATGGAGGCCTCCCTTAGCTCAATCAGTACCCTAGCAGCACACATGTCACTGAACAATTGTGGTTACTTGTGTGCCACTTATTCCAGTCACAATAAAGTTGCAGCAGCTTATTTCGATCGAAGTGTCCAGCCTAGGAATTTTTCGGGTTGGAATATCTCTCGATACTCCTGGGCATAGAGTGATTGTACTTGCCACACAATTATACTAATGCAGAAAATTCTGGGAGTGTGTTCAATCACTTCAAAAATTGTCTTGTCATAATCAAGTCAACTAATATTGGGTTCCTGGTCATTGCGGGATTGAGGGAAATGGAAGAGCTGATGCACTAGCAAGACTCGGATCTTCTCATAAGTTCATCGGGCCAGAGCCCTTTTGTGGCTTATCGGCTGCATCTCTTAGAATGGAGCTAAAAGCGTGGAGAAAAACTGGAAGAACACTTCCATTGCTAGGAAGTCGAAGCGATTCATTAATCCGTACATTTCTATGACCCACAAAATCCTGGGTCTTTCTAAGAAAGATCTTAGCATATGTACACTGTACAGGTCTTATAACAGGTCATTGTCCGATCCGTTATCACTTGAAGCTGATTGGAAAACTTCAAGATGATGTATGTCGGTTCTGTGGAATAGAAAAGGAAGACTCGGAACATTTGCTATGCCATTGTCCGGCAATTTTCAATAAAAGGCGTAAGTTCTTCGACAAGGGTCTGATAGAACCCTTTGACATTTGGAGAACAACTCCCAGTACGGCAGCGTACTTTATTCGAAGTATAATGCCGTGCTGGGATAATGCTATTAGTCAAGCGATGGCGATCACTCCTAATAATAGTGATACGGCATTTTTATATAGCTAAAGAAAAAAAAAATGTGGAATATATCACAATAGATCAGAAAAATGGTCGCAGTGATGGAAATACCCGACAAGGACAAACAAAAAAAATGCAAAAATGGTACAGGCATCGAAAGTTCTCAATTAATAACTGTGGAAGTACATCTAGAATACCAAGTTGATAAACCAATAGATTTTTATAATGACAAATGTGACAACAACATCAAGTCAGTTTGTCATATCAAGCAATTTAATATCATTTCAGTCCCATCCCGAAATTCAATCGTCCATAGGTCAAGTTACAGTTCTGCTTTTTGAATAGCAATATTTCTCGCTGATATAACAAGATATGAAAATATAAAAAAAAAATCAGTTAAGTTACTGTGATTTTTTAAATATTTACATGGGAATTTCACTTCGTAACTTCGACTGCCATTTTAACAATGCCTACTTTTTCCATATGGAACTCATATGAAAGTGTAGGAAGTTTAGGCCAAGTGCTCCACACATACGTTTGAGCTAGAACTAGGAGATGCAACAGTCTTCCAAGTTTTTGCTTCACGGGCAAACCATCGTTCATTTGGTGAGATCGTTCCTGTTTATATATTCACCTGTTTCGGTTTCTACAACTTTGTCTTAGGCATCATTTCGAGTGCGCTATTGTCAAAAGTTGGGAACGAGTGGGTATGGCTAGGTTCCAACATAGATTTGCCAATTGGTTCATTCGGCAAGAGAGTCATCCTAGTGCTTTTTCTGGTTTTAGACGTACCATAAAGTTCAATTTTGAAGAATTTTTGAACTAGATTTGCAATAACCCGTAAAAGTCTTGGAAGTGCCAGTAGTGCAGCAGGACAGTAAGAGTACAACATTAATGAAACTTGCTGAGATCTTCCCTTTATTTTCATTTATATGTTTTTATATTTATAAAATATTTTCGTTCTATTGCTCTCTACTGAAATCTAGCTCTCACCTGTTAGTGTTCAGCGTTGGAAAATTATGCGAGGTTTTATTAAGGACACAAAAGGAAAAGTTCGTGAGTCATTGTGAGATTGATTAGAGACCCGTTTTTTCAGTTTTTACACAAGGGAAGATAAAACTAGGATTCCTTCCTCCTTTTCCTTTCTCCTACGGTCTTTTATTCCATTTTTTCTTTTCAGAAAGCGAATAATGGCGCAATAACCACACACTACGAAAAAGTCATGTAAATTTCGGTTTCCTGAGACCAACACATGTAAGCGGCCCTTTTGACGTAAGAATCAGTTGAAAGAAACGAGAAAATAAATTCAATCATACGTTCTCTTCGTCGAGTTGCTTATGTTTCGGTTTGAGAACACTTAATTTTACATGAAATGTTAGTTTACGTTCCATGATTTACGTCCAATGTGGATTACGTCTTGTGAAAAAGTAGTTATTTCTAAGTGTGCATAAGCCATATAGGGCTAAGATAAGATCTAGTGCTCATGTCCCAACCACTCGTGAAAAATGGAGCATCATTTAACTTTTTTAGATAAGATGCTCCCAACCAGGGCTCTACATTTTCGAAGCTCTAAAATGAACTCGAGTTTTGTTTCTCTCATGCAAAAGTGTTCAACGCTTCATTTATTTAACGCCTAGCTAGACTATCAGCAAGAAATGATAATGAAAAAGAAGCACGCTTAGAAGGAAACGCTGGCTGTGGATCTTCTCGTCGTTGCTTTGTTCATCGCTTTCAATGTAAGTAGCAGTGCTGCAAAATTTCGACAGTACACGGTGATATTGACAATTCTGCTTTGGTCACTCATTTTAGCTAACAGTCATAGTCAAGGCAAACCATGTCAATTGTCAATGACAATGGTGTCAGTGACGAACATGTGCAGATTTGTTTATTAGCTAAATTTGTAACAAAATTAAATGACTTGAGCAAAACAATAACATGGATCCATTTTAGTGAACAAGTATCTACGTCCTGAGCTACTTGGATAACAATAATGTGACACAGAATGTACTAAATTACACTTTTTGTTACCAGGTGAATCTTTGTCATTGACGAAAAAATGAATGAGATTTTGACGAAGGTTTTTTTGAGAATCAAGTCTGTCAGTGACTATGTGACGAACAATTTTATCAATATCGCGCGAAAGTCTGTCAATGACAATGACAAATCTCAGCACTGGTAAGTAGTGTCGATTTTCTAGTTAAACGAAACCTCATTATGGCTTTAAATCCCCTTTCACAAACACTCTATCACCGCTCTTTCAATTTGTTTAAAATGCGTTATGTCCCGTTTTCGTTAATTTGTTTAGATAAATATGTGAATGGAAGATAAATCAAACATATTACGTGTAATCTTCAAGTGTTTTCACGTGAGAAATGCTTTAAAGGTGTTATTTAATTTTCAGTCATAAAACGTCATAAACGTCATGAAACCTCTGTTGATGTGTTTCATGAAAGAGAAAACTATCAAAGTCGAGCACTCTTTCGCTCATCCGTTTTACCGAAGCTTGAAAGTTAAAATGAATGGAGCGACGGGAGAAAGAGAGGCAAGCGATTGAACATTATTTTTTTGTGCACGCTGACTGAGGTTCTAGAATGCTGCGAAGCTGTTCGACTTTAACAGAAAAAGAAAGCCAGCAGTCTCTTCGTCGCATCGATTTTGTCGATTGAAGCTGATATTGTGACGCCCTGCTCCCAACGACAAATCATTTATAACAACGGAACGTACGGTACGAGATGTCCACGTTTCATCAATTTA